CCTCGAAGCGCGCACACCCTTGCATTCGTGCGCCTGGCAAGGCAATCATGATGTCATGAGTATACTGCTTTACTTTGGCGCAATAGCGGACCATGCATGCAAACAAGGAGCAACGGCTTTGGGCATCTCTGCACAGGAAGGACACGAAAAATGTGTGATTGCTTTACTGAAGTACGGTGCCAATCCGTACAAGTCAGACCATTGCGGACGTACACCAATTAAATTGGCAGCCAAATCAAATCGCACAAACATACTGAAGATTTTCGAAAACTTTACGAAAAGTAAACAAACACTCAAATTGCAAATTTTTTCCATTTATAATTATTTCCACATTTCTACTTCTGCTTCCGTCAGGTGATTCCAACAATCTAGTCGAGCCAGCCAAATTCCATCCGAACATGCTGCGCTCACCCGACCAACCACCAGCGTTACCTGCTCATCAAAGCATAGGGCTGGGTGCTCCACCGTACCCGCCGCACGCTTCCGCTCCCTCAGTCTGCTCGGCGGCGACCACAGCCACAGTAAATAACAGTATGAACAACAATAACAACATGCAAGTGCCATCTAATATACTGAATGCATCGACATCGACACATAGCTCCAACAATTTCTATCAGAACACAATGCAGTCGGATACGAGCAGCTTACACAAGCGAAAAAGCGTTATTTCTAGTCAATCGACAGGTAGCAGCAATGATGTAAGTGCGACATAGTAGTAACCAAAAACACACTTAACAAATCTTCCCTAACACACACCTTTTGCAGGCGCCGCTTACGTTCACACAACAACTACAACGGCAAACCAAACTCAACTCGCGTAACAATCCCTTCGTGCAAAATGCGCCCATCATCAATTCAAAGCATGGTGCCGCCTCAACATCTTCCAACGCAGTCGGCGCAATGCAACAGCAATCGAAAGCGCATCACTCACATCGACATTCACAGTTGCTGCCCGATCTCAACGAACATCAATTTGGTACGATCGCATTACATAATACATTAACGCATTCGAGTTTATGCTGCTCATTCGTGAATTTTATACATTTATATTTTGTTACTTTCAGTTTCTGGTATCGGTGCCAATGAGGCTGATCTATATGATATGGAATGCATGTCGCCATTGTATGCGACACCACCGCACTCGCCCAGCAGTGAATTGAGCTCACCCGGTCAGCTACCGTCGCTGAATGCATTCGATGAAATCACTGCCGCCTCGGGCAGTTCGCTGAACAATCACGGCAAGAGCAGTAGTTCTGGTGGGAAATCAGTACTACCAGATAATCACTTCGCCCGAGATACACACATGCGCATAATTTTGGGAAATTTAAAGGAACCCCAGCCCAGCTCATCTAGGTGAGAGCAGCGATAAAGGGACTGATAAAAATACTACTATTAAATATAGCATTTATATTTGTATATAATTTACATTAATTCGCTGACAGACTATTATATATTCCATTTATTGCCACAATCCTCTCACAGCTCCATACAGTTTTTGCCCCTGCACCAACCTCGGCCAAAATGATTGCGATTTCTTCCTTAACAGTTTTTTTTCAGTTTTAAGACGTCATTTAAATATATTAATTCGATTTATGAACATTTGTATACATACATATGTATATGTATATTCTTGTGTGTTTTATTGATGTCTTCTCCTTTGCAGCAAAAGCAAACGCAGCGGAATCACTACAAATCCAGCAATGCGTCTAATTCGGAGCCGCTTTGACTCTGCCGCCCAACTAATACGGCGCACCAACAACATGCTCTCCTCAAACAGCAATCAGGGATCCTCAAGCATCGGCGTGAAATCGGGCACATTTCAGTGGCGCAAGGAAAGCCAAATGTAAATTGCTGACGGCGATGCTAAAGCATTTTATACATACGTTAAGTTTGCATGTAAACAGTTAACTGCACTGGCAAGCATAATTAGAGAAGTTTGAATCGATAATTAGTCAAGAATGTATTTCCTTTAATTAAGTATGTGCGATTACGATTTTATTTGTGATAATTTATTATTTAATTTGGAGTTAAGCTGTAATTTATTTATGTTTATTCTTGCTGCTAAGTAAACAATTTAGCGATATAAATACTATATTATTTTCCAATGCATAAGTTAACACCAATATTTTAAAACAAACATTCATATATATAGACATGCACTAGTTTTAGGCTAAAAAACCGAAAAATAAGGAATTTAGGTGGAAATCGAGACATGGGCACATTAAATTATTGGAGAATTTAAATCGATTGTACTATGTAGTTTACTGTTACATTTTAAACAAACACATCGCATTTTTGAGGCAAGCAAAAATTACATACATACATACATACATGAGTTGATGAAGCATAATGGATACTAGAATTTTATGCACTGATAAACAGGTAATCTTTAAAATAAAGTTGCACACGAGAAATCATAAAGTTTAAGTGTATTTAAAAACGAAATAAAAGTAAATGTAAAGGAACCAAAATCAACGGAATTTCGAAAATTGGATTTTACATATAATTAATTAACTAGAAATAATTAAAATTATTATACACTATGAGTTTATCGAAATGTCGAAGAATTTAGAGGCCTGCGAAAACACAACTGAATTTCTCTTAGAAAGCAATATTCGTATGTAATATATAACAAATATGTAAAACATCAAACATTACAGGGTTGATAAACAGATTATATTGCGCACCTTCACTTTTATGTTGTGGAAATTATCCGAAAACCTATTTATTTATTTTATGTTAAATTTTTTTATATCCATTTAATTGCGTTTACTGTGAGAAATAAAATCGAAACCCACAACTGCAGAAATCCCGTAATACGGAAAATTAACATAATGCGCAGTTTTTTTTTTTTTATATCCCTCGTGGGTTTTCTATATAAAATACATTTTTTATATTTATCATTAGTTAAATAAAATTATACTTTCACTAAGGAAGGTTCGAAAATAATTCATGCGCTTGCATGTTCTACCCTGAACCATAATACATTTTATTTTTGATCTCCTAATAAATAAAGTAGCAATATTTAGATATAATCCCTTTTTTTTTTTAATTTTTAACACCTTCCAAGGAATATTATGTCAATTTGGGGTGGTTGTAAGAATTTCTTCAGTATGAGAACCACTAATTTGGGATATAATATGAACTTAAATTTACTATTAGTAAACACTACCATGGAAAAGCGAACATGAATTTAAAAATGGAGCGGAAATACATGCATTTTCGATTTAAACTACGACTACGTGTTTAACTACATCTTTGCTTCATCATTTACTTGTTCAATGGATATGAGGGGTTTCGTAATGCGAATGTTTCGTATTTGAAAATTTAGAAGACTTTTGTGAATTATTTGTCTCTTAATAGCAATTTGTCAATATTTCTTCATGGTCACGAATCACGGATTAGATGCAAGTACTAACTTCTATTTGCACAATTGGTAAGATTTTCCTGCCAATAACAACATTTCGTTCGGTTTTTTTAACAGACAAATTTTGAGTTCCAACCTATCATGGGGGATGCTATTTACATATTGCAGCAGAATTTTTATCACACTACAAATTAGGTAAGCCCCAACCAAACAAATATATAAACATATAAAACATACAAACATATTTCTATATGTTTCACTTTAAACAGAAAAAATTGTTGCAATAATAATTCGAAGCTCCAAACAAATTTGTTCTATTATATTCTAAATAGCCTTTACTTGTTTATTCCACCCTGCTTTTTGCTTACAGTGAACACCATTTGGGATAAAATTGTATGCAAAATAAATTTGCTATATGCCATAGTTAATTAGCCGTGGTAATTTGTAAGATTATAATACTGACTAGCTAAAATAAAATTTTAAAACAACAACAGCAACATGTTCAAGCGATAGGCAAACGAATGAATCTTCCTCGTCAGATATAGCAAATCTGCTAAAAGAGCAATTAAACATTTTTTTGGAGACATTAAAGCTAGTTTGGATTATAGTCTAAATTTTTGTTTCTGTCTTTCCCTACATTTGGTAGCATCGCCTTTTCCTCCTGCCAAATTCATCACACTTAATTTTCGTAATTTTCGTCTTTAATAATTATACAATAATATTATATTTATATATACTATACATATACATATAGACGCAGATGCATTACTATTTTTCTATAAGCACATTTTCCAAAACAAACTAAAATATTGCAGATAAAAGGCTACATGTGCGGTATACCACTTACACATATAATACAGTCATAGTCGTACTTATACATAGTTTATTTAAACCCCTTTTTCCCGTAAGTTACACAAACTGAAAATTTATCGATGTTTCCGATGATATTATGAGTCGTCATAATAAATAAACTGTACATAAGAACTTATGTATCTTTGAATCGTTACATTGAAGGTGTAAAGCACGCAGCTAACGATCTTTGCATTGAAACGATATGAAGTCGTTGGTTCGTGTGGAAATACATTACGTAAATTACTGTTAACAAGGATTATCATATACATATATACAAATATATTTAAAATAACAAATCAGAGGAAAAAACGAGACAACTGGAGAAATATTAAGTATATAAAATTATTTAGCACTATGCATATGCAGTTACATACATACATATATGCATAAAGAATTTATGCATATTTCAGCATTATTGCAAAAGTTAAAATGCACTGGTTAATGGTGTTTGAACTGAAAAGAATTTTAATTTTGATTACCTATTGGCATTTGTGGGGAAGTAATACAGGAAATTTAACAAAAGTTCTTGATGTAAGTTCCATGACTTTGAAATTGTTTAAAATTAAATTTACATTCTGAGAAACTTACGGTGCATTGAAAATTTATTTAATAAAAAGTTTAAGAAATAACTATATACAAAACACGTAGAGTTTGATGATTACTAGAAAAATAAAGTAATTATATATTTGTTTTTAATTATAGATTACAGCCTAGTAAGTATACTGTTGGACAATATCCAATAATATAGTTTTAGTTATACTTCAGCAAATTGAGAAACACTTCATTTATTGCTATCTACAAGTATCTTAGGATTGGCTACTCGAAATACATTTGGCACCATGCCCGCTAATGTGGTAAAAAGTTCCTCTGAAATATCATGTGGCAAAAGCAATTGTAATGTGCTGAAATGAAAAAGAAAACAACAACAGTTCACAATATCGATTTTTGAAACTATATTAAAGAAATACCTCAGTTCCGCACCACCCCACGATGCCGATTCAATCATGAAGCCCTTGGCGCACTTAAACACCAGCTCAGCCCTCCGCATGCACCACTGAACTGTCATGTCCTCTGACATTTCATGACGCATCAGCGCAGGAATTGTTAGCGTCGTAACATCATGCCGGCTAGCTGTCTTTAGTATATTACGCAAACCCAATATAACGGGATGACGAGAATTAATCTCACTAGGACTATTGATGGGTTCGTCGGAAATCAAATGAAAAATAACATGCGATTGCGAAAGGTTTGAATGCTTGGTAATAAAGAAGTCACCAGTTTTTAGCTTTGTGGTGGCCATTTTTGTTGGAGAGCCTCCTGCACTACCAGACCCAACTGTACCTGTATTCAACAGTATATCATTATTTCCACCTGAACTATTGCTGTTCACACTTGGTGACGTGGAATCATTAACACTTAAATTGCATATTTGTTTTTCTATCTTTTCCAGCTGATTGTCAATCTGCAAAACATAAATGACGAACTTAGATAATATCGAAAAAATTTCTACCTTTTTTACCTGTTCGAAATGAAACTCGGTGGACATGTTGGCGTTTTTAATAATACTCCTATTGGCCTGTGCCTGGATAGACGGTGTAAGAACAACTACGCCACAAAGAGAACTTGAATACAAGCCCAATGCCATGTTTAGGCCATTTAAACTACACGCAAGTTTTAAATATTAAAATATATTTAATTTAAAAACGTATACCTCACCTCTCATCAATATGCAGAGGACTGCAGAGATCTGTAACATCTGCACTTAATATACGTATATTATGCATGTGCTTAAGTTGAGAGCCTAAATGTATTGTGAAACTTTCTTCCATCGACGGCTGCTGTGATATAAACATAGATGAGCGATTTCCTAATGGAGTTGCCGCCGGAGATGTCTCAAATATTTTGCCCACTTGGCACGTAATCCAATCTCGATATTCATTGCGTTGATGTCCTCGCTTAGCTTGCAACTCAGACTCGTAGCGTTGTCTTATATAATTTTGGGTGCTATATTGTTGTGCTAATAGGTTATTTATATCCTGCAATCATACATCAAATCATACAAGTAATTTAACAAAGTTTAATATAAAGCAAATATTACACACATCCGATGTTGTGGTTATGTCCAATTGTTTTATTTTATTATCCATTTCTTTTTGCTGTGTTGTGTTAAGAGTTTCAACTTCCTCGTCCATTAGAGCATTCATTTCTGAAATAACTTTCGCGTAAGCCCTTTCACGTCTTAAAATCTCTTCCAGTGAAGATGAGTGTACTAGCCTTTGGACAAAATTAATATACATACAGACAATATACTGATATTTTAATTTGTAAAGAATTTACCGATGGAAACTTTGAGCGAATATATCCTCGTCGCTTGGTCCAATGCGATCTGCGAATTGTATTATTTCTTCTTTATATTGCCGCTCCGTTTTACGTATCACTGCTTCCAAGTCGAGCTCATTATTCCCTGCATGTTCAAATAGTCGTTCGGCAAACTTATCCAAATAAATTTGATTCGCATCTATTATGAACTTTCGCAGTGCTGTTTTTACCTCTACAATATAAATTAAATGTACATTCATTCTACACTTTATAAATTACATTACTATGTTTACTTTCGTGTTCATCCAGGTAACGCTGCATTACATCCATGTCATTTAATAGGCGGGTAACTAACTCGTCCAGACATTCATCCTCACGTTCGAAAGGAAGCTCAATATTAATACTTGCTTCACATTCTATGTTTTCATGATTATTATATTTATATATAAACTTAACAATATTATCAGCCATTCTGTAAAATATTAGACGAATCAATGTAAATAAACCTTGCCCGTAATTCCGTTTATCAACAAAAACTCCCACAAAATACTTGAGAGGAATGTCAAAAATACATGTTTCAGAAGACAAGCATTAATCTGATTAACATTCTTCCATTGAACGTACCATAAGTAAGACCGCGCTTACACACGAAGGCTTTTGTGCTTATCATCGAAACATTTATTCACACTAGCGACACGAATCCGGTAACTTGAATAGGATAATTTTCTACATTCCATTTCCCTTCATATTCGCAAATTCTAGTACGCTTCATATGAGTGATACACAAATATATGTTTCATAAGCAAATGTTTATACATATTTGCATACTATCTACAAAAAATTAATTTTAAAAATCTAGTTTTCGTGCATATTGTAAATATTCTACTGAAACCGAGCGCAATTGCAACCATCGAAAGAAGTTCCCACAACGGGTTCAACATTGCCGGTTTTGAACAGAATTTTTTCTGGCCAATGGCTGTAACCCTATTTGGATCGGTAAGTAGTAGTCTGGAAAGAATACCAAATAAAAAATAATGTCAAACTAGGTTGCAGCAAATTGTTAGGAATCCCTTCGCCTCTTTTCGTGGCCCCTTGCAATCAAAAACGCGGGGCGGACGATAAAAGTCTTTGTGTGTGAACGTAGTCTAACAAATCCACTATTTTTCACTAAATTAAACTCATTAACATAAGACTTTCCACACTTTGTGCGTAGTTAAAACTAAAGCTTTGAAGAGAGAAAACAAAAGGTATGCCACAGAACGTTTTGCTTTCGACGTTCCTCTCTAATAAAAAAAGCATCTGTTTGCTTTACTTCGCGGCGAAATCGTTCGACGTGAACAGTCATACAAAAGCATACATCGGACCTTTTCTGTAAAAGCAAATGTCTGACGCAAAGCGAAGCAAAAGTTCTAAGTGAATTGGCCCAAAAAGCAGCTAAATTCCTCAAGAAAAGCTCTAAGTTCATAATTATAAATTTACCTATTTTATTTATGAATACACAAGGTTTCTGTTATTTAAATTATGTTTTATCTACAAACTTTTAATTTCGAAGTATACGCAAGAATATTAAGGCGCCATTTTCCCAATTTTTGTTAAATATTTTATAAAATAACCTCATTTGTAAATAATATATAAAGGTCATAGTTTCATATCTTTGCATTCTAATACAAAATCTTTGTAACAACCAAAAGGCAACGTCGTGGACAGCGCCAAACTGTCGCGGTTCGACATTGGTTCGAACCCTACCCCGGATATCTGAAGGAGAAATGAGATAAAATTTATTTTTATTCTTCCAACGAAGCAGGCCGCTAAAATAATATTTTTTTTTTATGACCATCCCGTTTTTGGTCGACCACCATTATTTTTTGAAGCGTTGAAGGCGTGGAACCAACCATTTTTAATTCATATTTAAAAAATGTATTATTTTAATTCTTACATAAAATTATTGAAAAGATGGACGTTTCGCTTACGGATTTGTCATCTTCACGTTAAAGTAAGTCAAATATAAGAAAATTATAATTTTCGCAGCTTTCTTCGACGATGCCCCTAAACTTTACATTTTCCAAAATTTCCAACTGATGTTTGTGCGGTATTTGAGGTGGCCGATAACTGTTCAAAAGTTTCCCATCACGTACAGTTCCTTTTTCATATTTGCTTTCATTTTCGGTTTTTGCAATCCACAACTAGCAAGAAAACCGCCTCCAACTTCACACCCGCAAAATGTATGTAAACTAGCTCTAGAGATAAATGGCACCAGTTGTAATATATCCATGGCCCAGCAAACTTACTCTATTCTTTACCCAATTTGTATCAATCATACTTGATATTGTTGGTTACTCCATCAGCACTGTCGCAACAGGTTTACGCTTTTGAAGATGTTATATTTTGCAATGAGTATCGATTTTTAGAAACTAGGTTAAGTTCAGTGGGATATACAGGACGTTCAAGTTCGAAGACGTAACCAAAACAATCACAGAATGTCAACAATCGCCTGCATGCATGAACGACACATTCGCTATGTAGGATTTAAAAACTTAAATAAAATTGAAAACCATGACGGAATATAGGTTAAGACCCCAGAATTAAAACAATATTTTTTTTAGTACTTGCAAACTTTATTTAAAAAATAAATGTCAGTACAAGTACATTACAATAAAAAATATATATCATGCGTCAAGTGGCTCCAGTTGTAACCTGCAATATATTTTACAAAACTTACCGCAGATGGTCGGACTAACTTCGCCTCTACTTTTTGTCCCAAAAGCATGCATCCGGTATTCCCGTTTCGAAGCTCTATTCACTTGGCAAAGATGAGAATGCACTCACAGCACTTGGCAGCGATCTTGCAACAAAAATTGTTAAAATTACTTTGCGGCAAATCAAAAGTTTCATGTATTTCAAAACACTATTTTTTTAAATATAACTACATTGGTTAACATATCTCGAGATAAGCCTTTTTCCATCTAACTGATAACTCCAAAACCACCTCTTCTACGAAATGGTGAACATACACTGAGAAGGAAAACTTATGTCTATGCTCCCAAGACAGTGAGTCCCTAATCAAATAAAATTTATTCAATTCACTTCTCTGCTTCTCACCAAGTGCTACACACGATATGCACATCCTTCCTTAAATGTATGTTACTGCACAGTCTTTGTGTAAAGTATATATTTCTCTATATGTATAAGTTTACATTTATAAAAGATTGTGTTCTTCAGTAAAAAATGATTCCAGTGAGAACTTAATCGAAGTTTTTAAGATATAGATTATCAATATCAGGTAATTTTTAATGATAAAAGATAACTAATTTAAGAGATTTGATTCAAATTATCCTGTCAATTATTGATAATTTCTTTGATTACTACATCTATCCAATCTGGTTAATTTGTAAGATAATTTCCTTACAGACTTTCTAACATCAAACCTTGTGGGTATGACAAATATTTGACAATAAATACAATACAACTAAACTTATTCTAAAAACTTATTTGAATATTTTACAGAAAATCTAAAACATTAGATATAACACTAGATTAGGTATGAAATGTGGGAGGATCTGACTACATTTTATGTGCATTGTTTCAAGGAGTTGATTCAGCATAGAAGATCAATCCAAGAAACTGTGAAAAAAACTAGTTTAATATAAAATTGTATTTCTCCTCTTTTAAATGTTTCATTTTCTATTACATAATCATCCTCCTTCATCAAATTATCTGTTTTGTTCGAAATGTATGTGGAAGTTTGTCTTAACTTTTTTAATATTTAATACTCGTCTCTCTCTTGCATTTGATCCTTAAAATTTTCATCTTTAAAACTACGTACGATAGGTACTTATTTTGCTGATGTGGTAAAATGCCTACACATGAGTAACTTCTTCGTATCTTTGTATAAGTATTCATATATGTAACTGTTGCTTATATAATCATCATCGTCATTCCTCTCCCTTCCTCTCGACCACCTGTGCTTCAAATTGTTCCTGGGGTATCTCATCACATTCTGCTTTAAATTTTCTGACCTTTATTCTTTTCAACTGAAACTGTTAATTCTGCTGCTTTCGTGGCTGTTTAAGTTTTCTTATATGTAACTTTTCGATTGCTTGCTTTAATCTTTACGAATGTGACCTGGCTCAATTTTACGACCTATAAATGTTTATAAATAAGAAATCATTTATTGACATTCAAAAATAGCTTTGAATCTTTTAGTTCTATAATTAAAATTAGTGAAATTAAAATTTTAATATATATTGTACCACAGCACTGCACTCGAGAATTAATAAAGAAATTAAATTATAAGTCGGGATAACTACACTTATTTATGCTCAAGAATTTTTCATTAAGATCTATCACGATTCAAATGTGATTTATCCTTGAAGATTTCGAAAGTCGAAATACTATTATCTCGCCAAAAATGTGTCTCCACTATCTACAAATCATAATAAAAATTAAAACCTAATAACTAAGTTTGAACATAAAATGTGTTACAAAGAACGATAAATAGAAATGTTGAAATTAAAACCAAAACTCACCTTAGTATCTTCTGTTACCTCCACCTCCTCCCATAGCATTGGGACCACCAAAGTTGCCCTGATTACCGAAATTACCTCCTTGATTGCCTGGAATGCGATAACGGTAAAATAGTTTTCATTTAATCGAATTTATATTTTCTTTTTATCTCGTGTGTGATTTAAATTTAGTGTGTTCAACAAGATTTTGTTCCAAATACATTTTCATCAACTTATGATACCCACGGGACATAAATTAACAACGATATTATATTTGCATTGCTCTTACAGCCTCGTAACGCCGTATGAAATTATTGAATTAGTTTATACGGAGCTGGGACTGTGTAAAAACTTTAGTGTGTATGTGAGGATACATTTATTACATACCCATTTTGTTGCCAAAATTGCCTTGATTGTACGGCTGCGAACGATTATTGCTACCGTAGTTGCCGCGTTGTGGACCACCGCCGTAGCTTTGTTGATAACCGCCTCCAAAATCATTCCCCCAGTTACCGTTGTTGGCTGGTCCATTATTTCCGGGTCCACCAAAATTCGAAGGACCGTTATTCCAGTTACCTCCACTATTGCCATTATCCCAAGGACCTACACTATTGTTATTCCAACCACCCCCTCCTCCATTGCTATTGAACCCTCCACCAAAACCATTATTTCCACCCCAATTGTCGTTGCCTCGGTTGTTACCACCCCAATTGTTTTGATTGCCCATCATTCCACCCCCCATATTGCCACCACGACCCATATTTCCGCCTCGACCTCCACCACCACCTTGTTGGCGATTCATGTCCTGCTTGGGTAAGGCTTTCTTTACGTCTAGAGCTTTGCCTTTGATGTTGTGGGTTTTTTGCACTGAAAGATTTCAAAAAATATATATATTAATAACAAAAACATACATATTTTTAAGTGGGAACATTTAATATAGTGTTTTTGTACCGAGGCCGCGTGTTACACAGAATTTAAACATTGAAATGTACATTCGCATAACATAGCTTAAGCCGACGATATTTATAATCTCACAGTTTTATTTTATAAACCAGTTGAAGAAGGAACGAAATTCAAACTAGTTGTCACAGGACTGCGTAAAACTATAAAAATATATGGAATATGCAATAAATTGCACTTTCTTTTAAGTAAGAACGTATTTTAATAATTGTAACGAGGCTGCGTGTTACACTGAATTTGGTATTAAGTATTCGCATAACATAGCGTTAGCCGACGCTGTAATTTATTTCACAGTTTTATTTTCTTCAGCAAACCAAAAACTGAACAAATTATTTTAGCTGCTGCATCAGGGAACTGTGGTTCACATTTATCAAATGTTGCATATACATTTTCATCGATTCATCATCATTTAAAAAATCAACAAAATATAATATATGTCTAATTTTAATTTTACAGTCGTGAAACGCCGCATAATGTTATTGAAATACATATGCGGAGCTGGGACTGTACCTTATAACACGAATTTAAAAAAATTGGTGTAGATACACAAACATGTATAATATATGATGAACTATTTACTTACACACAATTTTATCAACTGGGTCATAGTCATCGTATTCAATGAAAGCGAATCCGCGTTTTTTGCCAGTTTCCTTGTCGATGACTATATTCACATCTGTTATTTTTCCGTATTGACCAAAATAATCTCTGAGGCATTGTTCATCATGTTCATCTTTTAGCCCACCAACAAATAATTTTTTTACGGTTGCACCAGCATGTGGATTATCAATATCTTGACGTGGAACTGCGCGTTTTGGTTCTACAACACGGCCATCAATCTTATGGGGGCGTGCATTTTGTGCATCATCAACCATAGTAGATCTCGAATAGGTGATAAACCCAAAACCACGTGATCTCTTCGTTCGAGGATCCTTCATCACCACCACATCCACTATTTTACCCCATTTTTCAAAATGTGATTTAAGTCCATCATCCGTAGTTCTATAGTCTAATCCTCCAATAAATAGCTTTCGCAGGCATTCTGGCTCATTAATTTCGTCCTAAAAACAAAATCGATTTTTCAATAGCACGTATACAGAAAACAAAATGGCCGACAAGTTCTTTCACCTTCTCGAACATTTTCTGTGCAAACGAATTCGTGGCTATTTTACTTACATCGTTATAATCTCCATTATTTCCATTTTGGTTTGAATTATCTTTTTGGTTACTCATTCTTACCATTTATAACTTTATATTAATATTTATAATTATTTTCACAATTACGCAAGTTTGCAGGTTTAAGCGCACAACCGAACAACTCAAAGCGAAAAATCCGAATGAATTAGTTCGAATAGATTCGTTTTTTCTACTCTTTTTCTTTTAATATGGCTGATACGGAAGTATGTAGAACTGTCAGAGAAGAATGATGATGTAGTGCTACCATATCGGAGATATATTTGAATGCATTGAATTGAGTCATTAAAACATTTAAATTTTATGGTATTCAAGCCGATTTCGCTCTGCGTCGTGTATTCATTGAGCGTTTTCCGTCGTATGTTTCTAACTTGAAGTATTGCTATGCTCAATCTGTTACACGATCATGTTAAATAACTACACTCTCTACTATAATTTTTTACTACTTTTCGAAATTGTACGCCTTCTTGGTACCAATTTTTTCAATCAAGTCGTGAGGCAAGCAGAGAACGTCATGACAGACGTCCTCTGAGGAAAGTTGACGATGTTCTCTGATACCATATTCAGACCGACACTTAATCACACGATTTCGGCTGTTGAATGGATTATCCCACTAATCTTAAAAATTTATCACGATTTCGCCATATAAAAATAACAGTTCCAAATCACTTCATTGAAATGATTTGAAACTGATCCACGCTAAATCTCTCTGTGCGACTCTGATTTTGCGCAATCTACTTGTCAGCACTGGAAATCTGTTACATTATCAAAGCTGATTTAGACACTACAAAGGGAAAAAGGAAAACAAACAATTTATTTTAAAGCAATAAATCTAATTTCACCTGAAAATCGACTTAACAAATGAAAAAATGCATCCATTATTTCTATTATATGGAAAATATTAAAAAAAAAAAGACAGCAGTGAGAACACTGTTGTGTTATGAAATGCTTAAATATAATCTAATCTTTTAAATTTTCGGTCTGAACATGGTATGACGTTCTCTGACTGCAGCGTTTCGCATATGTTGACGCAATTGTGTGGTTACAGTAAATATATTTAAGAAACACTTGGCAGCCCAGAAAATTTTTGAATACATACAAGAGAGCTCATCTACCGCCACCATTTTATTTCGCTTTGAAGTAGCCCTCGCCATACCATTATTTCATATATGAGAAGTGAACAAACACCATTTTTTCTTGTGAATAAACTTGGTTAATTAAATTAAGATAGTAAATTCTTACCAAATTAAAAATGATTAAGACAGAAAATATTTATCAAGCGGCCCATAAACCTGAGGTATGTAGAAATATTAAGAAAATGAAAATAGGTACCAATAAGTGTTCATTCGAAAATATTAATACCCGGTCATTATGTCGTGATTTTAATAAAATAATGGATTTATTTTGTTAATAACTTATGTAGGAGCACCAAAATGGTGGAGAGGTAGAAGTTGATCACCTTCGCAAAATGTTTATTGGAGGTTTGTCAGCAGTAACAACTGAAGAGTCTCTCCGGAGTTTTTATAAGCAATGGGGCGACGTAGTTGATGCTATAGTTATGCGTGATCCAGCAACAAAGCGTTCCCGCGGATTTGGATTTATTACTTATTCTGACACGTTTATGGTAGATCGAGCGCAAGCGGCTCGTCCACACGTAATTGACGGCAAGTAAGTATCCGCCACATTTCTCATTTCAGAAGTGTACCTTGCAAATTCTTAGACAATGAGTCACTTATTTTCGCTAATCATTTCTCTCACTTTTTATTAAAAAAAAATTTAAGGCAAGTAGATTCGAAGCGTGCATTACCTAAACCTGAATTAGGTAAACCAGAAGCTAGTACAACGGTGAAAAAAATATTTGTAGGAGGTTTAAAAGAAAATCATGATGAACAGGCTTTAACAGAACATTTCTCACAATTTGGCAATGTGGTTGGAGTTAAAATTTTAACAGACAAAACCACCGGACGCAAACGTGGTTTTGCGTTTGTGGAGTTTGATGACTACGATGCCGTAGACAAAGCAGTTTGTAAGTGTCTTAAATCTCTATAAATAGTAGGGTTATGCTAATATGGCTAAATTTTTTTCTTTAAACACAGTACATAAAAATCACACAATTAAGTATGTGTTGGTTGATGTAAAAAAATCTGTTTACAAACAAGAGTTAGCCAAGAAACGAGCCACTCAAGCACAGCAAGCAGGTGTACCACCAGGTGCAGCACCTGCAAACGGGTATCAACAACCGGCAGCTCCGTATGCCCAACAGCCTGCTTATGGCTATCCACCACAGATGGGTCCACCGGCATATAATGGATGGGGCGGTTATCCTCAAGCTGCACCTCCCGCTGCTTATCAACAACCTCCACCAGCAGCTCCCGTTGCTGGATACGGTGCTTATACAGCGCCGCCGCAAAACGGTGCAGCTCCAGGTTGGGGTGCACCCGCCGCATATCCTGCTCCTACCGCTTGGCCTCAAAATGGGTATGCAGCGGCTCCCCCTGCCGCTGCCCCAGTACCACCACCTACAGCTGCACCTGCTGCTGCACCAACCGTAAATAGTTGGAATGGAGCCGCCGCCGCACCTACTGCAGCTGCTCCACAAAATTTTGGTGATTACCAACAGTCATATAACGGTGGCCCTCAAAAGGCCGGCAGCTTACAAGGAAACCGAATGAACCCTTATAGTGTGTCGTCGGCGCCTAGTTATGGTAAGCAATAAAAACTTTTAATTTATTTTGTCTATTAAACTTATTTAATCATATTCCTCTTTGAATACACCGAAATAAGTTTATTTTCGTGTTCATATTATCGCTTTATTTAAATTTTTTATGAAGTATTTTAAGATTGTTTGGTTAAATATTATATATATTTATCTTGTTAGTGTTACAATAAATCAGTGCGAATCAACTGAAACTGTCGAAATAATGAATGCATTCACCATTCGAAATATCTTAAAATTTACAGATGATTTAGCTGTTAAGATATGAGTATATGCTAAAGTAATATATTAAACAATTGTATAGATGCAATATTCACAATTTTAAAGATTTTCATCACATGTACTGAATCATTTTAATTATAAAGACATCAAACCTACCAATTTCTGTACAAATACTACTAGAAACTACAACCTTTTAAAAATAATCAAAAATTGGTTGCTATTGTTTTTGTCGAAATTAACTTATTTTTCTACAAAAATTTATATTAAAAATTAATATTCGCAGGTTCAACCGCTTCAACCGGTTACCTGAATATGTCCAATACGACGGTTAAAAGCTCGTCAGTGAACACTGGCTACAAAACGCAATCTTACGTTTCTCAGACCAAGCGTTCTTATTAAATTATACGCTTACAAGAGAATATATCTGCAACAAGTCAAGTCGGTACAGTAGAAAGTGTATTTTAAAAATTCCATCGACATACTATTATGTAAGCTTGCTACAGCAGGTATGTTATTATGTAGTTAACGCAGCATTCACTGCTTCGCTTCTATGTTATAGGGCTAGGAAGCTAATTTGTTCCTAAATGCCGTAATATATTCCCGTTTAAGTCTTGTATTCAATATTTGTCAGTGAAGAAAACTACAACTTTTTGTCTGGTTAAATCAAATTTAATTAGTTCCAACACAAATATCTGCTCGCTGTTTTCGATAACTTTGTTCATTGCGTTGCGAAATTTTCGAATTTTTGAATTCGAATTTTTTTAAAATTATTTCGACCAACTAAAATACATTTTTCAAACTGAACACAGAGAAAACTAAAAGCAGAGAAAATCATTGAATGGCATCTTGAATTTTGGAAAACGCAATAGTCTAAAATAGAGGCATGGAACTTAGAAATGTGAACTGTTGTGTCAATATATCGAAATATCCGTGGTATATAGAATTTGTGCAGTTTTTTGTGTACCATATTTGTTTAGTGTTTGTATAATATACAGACTCCCTGTTAATAATATAGCTTTGTCTTTATTTTGTATGTTTCGTAATCCTTAACCATCGAAAACAATAACATTTACATATTTATCTATTTATGCATTTAAAAATCAATATTTACCAATATATATTATACAAAAATATCTTTCTTTATTTCCCATATAGGCATTTAAGATGTATGCTTATACATAACATTAATGTACTACTACATAGATAACCAGAATTATTTTAAGAGAAACAATTTAAAAAACAAAACAACCCAATCCAACCCCAAGAAAGAAAGATTTACATAAAATGCACTACGTACATTACATAGAGCAAAACAAAAGAACAAAACGCACTTCATTAAGGATGATTTCCGATATTTATAGTAATTAATATATGAACATATGTATTTTAAAGCAAATATCTTAAATAATACATTCGCTGCTATGTACACATTTATTATATAGCGTCCAAAAATTATATAGTAGATCGCTTATCTAGATGATACTTAATATCGGATAAATATTTCCATAAAAGTCAGCGTGCTAACGTTTTGGTAATAAAAAAAAGTAACAACAAATACTGAGGCAATGCAGTTCAAAAGCGACGAAAAAAATATTTGAACGTATTCAGCACAACTTGGATCCAAATTGCAAACAGCAATTAGAAACTCACCTGCATTGAAACAAATATAGACATTGGTTCATAGATTAAGAGACTTATTTAATATTTCAGCACAGCTGTAAAAGCGCTTTAGAACTAGCATGAAGTAGAAAACAGTTATAACGAGAGGAATAATTGCTGTTGTACTTTGCGTTGCAAATGAATTTTGTAGGGTTTTGTTTTATTTTATTTTGCTTTGTATTTCTTTTTTTTTACATTGAACTAATATAAGAGAACTGAACTATTTGTTTAACATCCATGACAAAGAAGTTTTAGTTTATAAAGAGTTAACAGCCTTTACTTTTGGCACTTTAGAATTCCAAAGTGTATGTTTTCTTTCCTTTTCTATTAACACTTGCAATATTTTAAATTATAATGCAGAAAAAGTTCGCTTATAGTGACTGCAAAATTAAAAAAAAAAAAAAATCAAGCAAATAATAAAAGGAACACTTTTATACTTTAATAATACTTATTGTGTGTGTTACAATTTATATTGTATTTAATAGTACTATGTATAATTAAATTTATAATGATTACAATTAAAAGCTGAATTACAAATAAAGTATACTATAATCACATTTCTATGGTATATAAGTTTTATTGCATTTTTTACTTAACAACTTATTTGCTCTTTAAGTGCAGGTATGGATATCTTAACAATTTTTTGTATTTCATATTGGTATATCAGCCTCCTTATCAGTATTTATAGAAAAGTATCGCAACGAATTATTTATGAAACATTTTTACTTTTCAATTAACAAATAAACAAACGAGAATTTCCGGAGATAATAAAAACTTAAACGAACCTTGCGTAGTCCCATATTTCATGCAATTTTTTAATTAGGTCTAACAATCCAGAAATAAAAACTTTTGCTTCTATTGAGCACTTTTCGTTTAATATGTAAAATATTTGTAAAGGAAATTGTTTACACAATGTATTAAAACATTTTTGTACTCTTAATACCGTTTACTTATCACGCTACGCTACCTTTCTTCCGAATCGTTTCTTATTTGTATAGACGCTCAATTCTCTAACATTGGTATTTGTTTTCCTAAAAATGTGTGTATCTCCATTTGCAATTGAAATGTGCAACAGGATTTATATTATATGCATATTATACTTTATTATAGTTGTAACCCAACTTTTATATTTTCAGGTATTAGAAATATTCAACTTATCGTGTATATTACAGAAACAGTATTTTCTACAATATTTTTATTCGCACTGCTACAAATATGCCGCTAGAAAATAAACGAACTACCAAATCTATGTATGTGTTGTGTATATATGCTTTGTATCTTGCTCCTATGTACTACATATATTCTTTATAAGATATCGCATATACACCTATGTACATATACATATATGCCTAAGTATGTAGGATCTTGATCTCTACTAAGTAAGTAAAATAAAGCGTAAGTAAGAGTAAATATTTCCTAATTATTATAATTTTTTAAAGGACATCCAAAAGACCAAACATTTACAAAAAATTAAGCTTTTTGTTATTAATTGAAGCTTCTTGTTTCAAAAGTTTCTTTAGCTGTTTCATTTGGATATTTAAAACACATTTTGGAAATGCAGAAAATATTTTATTTAAACTGTGCTGGTTACATATGTAACACAACCAATTATATGTAGAGACATTGCGTTTTCCACAGACAGACTTCTTTTTGAATGGCAAGCTCTTTCAAAATTTACACAACCATACTAATATTCATAAAAAGTATCCAACTAACTCAACCAAACTTTTGTTACTTTGCTTCCAGTGTAATTATAAAAAACTTTATTTGTGATTTTCATAAACCAAACAGGAAGTTAGTATATTTTTTTCATAAGTATGTATGTGTATACCAATTTAGAAAAATATGACATTTTTAAAAAGGTCGCATTATTTGTATTGATATTCAAAAACTCACCAACATAAATACAATAACGTATATAAAGTATAAATATTCCTTTATTTTATTGTTGTCTTTGTAAAGACCTAAGCTAAACTATTTAAATTTTACCATGAATATATTCATTCAACTTGATAAAATAGTACCAATTGCATACATATACATATGTATATTTGAATATTGAATGTATATATGTTATAGATACAGATTCGGAAATTTAATTTTGTTGCTTACTTTTACACCTACAAGTTTATACATGAATAAAGATTTTTTTATATTTTAATGTTTCTTTTTAAGCACGAACTGGCGAGGGACAATGGTAAAGCACAGTAGCAGTCGACCGAGGGACAGTAAATGCGAGTAGCCACTTTTGAAAAAATAAGATTTCAATTGTGAAGTTGAACACAGCAATCGTTCGCCCGAGGTGTTGTTTTTAGTGTGACGAAAGATGACAGCGACCAAAGTGAACGAGGTAAGTAAGAGTAACTTTTTACAGACTTACCGCTCCATCGGTCCAGTAAATTGAAAAACATATGTTACTTTTATGAAAATCAATTTGACAAATGTGAAATAAAATTGACAATTAGTAAAAAAAAATAAAAATACTGTTTTATTGTGAGTTTATATTTATTTTTTTTTTATAACATCAAACAACCAAAGCACTTTGGCCTCCCTTTAATCAAGCACCAATAAAACTTTCTAAACATACATAGATTAGCATTTATTAATGATATGAGGATACCGACTTCCTAATTGGTATATAGAATATGTTAGCTGTAAATATTGTCTCCCCTCCTATTAATTTTATCCCGCACTTTCGAGATATGGCTTAATGTATTTCGCTACCTAAGATATATCAAATCAATTCACATTTCCTCTCTATCAAATATGTTCGATGCTTCATATTCTAACTGTGCTCGGGATCTGTGTTAGTAGCAACCAAACATTATACTGATTGATTATTTTCATCCTTTCGGTTATTCCATTCGAGATGATATGGTAAGTATATAAAATAAATATCAATAAATAAACAAAAAAATCATGATTTCGAAGCTGTATGTTTAATAATGAATCTTTGTAGACAAATCAATCAAATTTGCAGCATAATTTTTATAATTGACTTTAAGCCTCAGTTTCTGCAACTACCCCTTTATTGGTTCTAAATTTCTTTTCAGTGAGCATTCTCTTAAGGTCTGAGAACAGGAAATACTCAGTGAGAACCAGATCTAGAGAATATGGTCATTGCGGAGTAACTCGAAGTACAAATCAAAAAATTGTGACTTCGCACTGGCTGAAATGTGACACGGTGCGTTGTCTTGAAGAAACAGCACTTCCTTGTTCTTCACGGTCCCACGTTTTTGTAGTAATAGTTGCTGTTGATGGTTTTCCCCTTTTGAAGATAGTGGACGAATATTATACCACGTGCATCCCAAAACATTGACCTTGCCAGCCGACTTTTACGTCTTTCCTCGCTTTGGCTCGGCTGACTATCGATTAGACACCGATATAAAGATGTTTAGCCATGTTTCATGCATTGTCACATATTGACGCGAAAATTTGATTTTATTACGATTTAAAAGACGATTGTTGGGTCGTGAGCTTGGGCTGCACCCACTTTGTCCACAGCTTTCGTATACCCAAACAATCATTCATAATATATCTTATACATTGATATTCTTAGAGTATCAGCTCCCTCGAACAAACCAATTTTACCGTTAATTATTTTGGGGAATTTTTTGATGTTTTTGGTGGTAATAGCTTTTTTAGGGCGTCCACTGCCTTCATCTTCCTCTGTGTTCATTTTGCCTCGTTCAAACTTAGCAAAACACCTTTCAACGGTTAATTTCATAGGATAAGAGCTCAAATAATGTTGACCAATTCAAGCCTCGGCTTCAACTGTACTTTTATCCATTTACCCAAAACGCTATATCTCATAGACTAATAAATAGACAGCTGTCAAATTTTTGCTCGTATCTTTGACTAAAAATCATATGGATTTAATATTAGTGGTATCATCTATGCATCAGTCTACAAACTGTTCAATACACCTGTTAAATTTCAAATTTCAAATGCATTCCCACTCGTTAGCAATAAGAACACATCGCAACTGAGATTCAAACATATATTTTATTAATATTAATCAGACGCACCTTAAAAGTTACCATGTTTACTTTTCTGTGTTTATATTTTTTAAATAGTAAACTTTTCTAAATTTAATTTATAATTTTTCAATGCATTAAGCACTAAATTCAGAATTAGTTTTATCTTATATTAAAAAAAAAAAAGTTACCATTTACAAGAAATACAAATTTACTTTAGTTCGCTTATAACTGAAACGTTATAAAACATTTCCAGACAATTTTTTACTTTACTACTTTTAAGTTTCGTTTTCTTCGATTTAAATTCTTTTTGTAATAAGTTTCACGAGAGTTTTCGTTTTGTGCGACTCATTTTTGGAGCATTTCCTTATTGTTAATATTTGCAAGAGTTAAAATGGCATGCATATGAAAATTTCGAGTATGGGAATTTATAAATTTAGAAAGCTGTTCTTTTAAATGAGAAAAGCGAGTAATAAAACAACGAATCATATTTAAATAGTTTTATTTTATAACGATTCTCAGAATATATGTATCTTTTAGTTTTGTTATAAATTATGTTTCACTCCATCGATTTATGTATTTATAAATAATAAGTTTTATAAAACATTTGCGACCTGAAAATATATGTTTTTTTTTATTTTAAATGCTATGATCCACTATTTGCATGTTCTTTATGACATAGAATTCAATAGGTAAACTATTTGAATGAAGGTGCTGAGGATGTGTAAGCGCTGCACCTATTTAATAATTATCTCTCAATTATATGAAATCAAGGATGAATATAATCTAAAAGATTTGCTAATTTATACCTAACGAAGTCCGTTTTGAAAATATCCAATTAAAATACTGAAATATATAGAAGGGATTTCGCAAACATAAAAATTATATACTTATTATTTTCAGTTTTAATAACCAAGAATTTCTAGTTTCGTATAAAGCAATAGAGACCGAACAGAGTCCTATTGTTTATTAAATGTATTAAAATATAGAATGTCCTAAACCGACATTATGCATTTCTGTACATAATCCATGGTTATAAGAAACTAGTTTAAAAACATATGCGATTGTTGGTACATTCAATATTGTATTTTTTTGCAGCAACCTTAATAAATTATCTTTCGAATCCTAGCCAATCCTGAACTGTTTTGAATTTTGAAATGAAAATTTGCAGAACCTATGTAGACGCACATTTTGCAAATCTCTTTCACGTAAATCAATTTGATTACATAGCTTTTTACAGAACTTTTTTTTTTTTTTTTTTTGAATTTTTAGCATTTTTCGATTTTTTCGGATTTTAATTTTATAAACGTACGAATATTATTACTTATTTAAGTTTACTTTTTATTTGTTTAAACGTGTTTATTCGGATTTACAAGTCTTTCTTTTGCTTTTTATTGCATCTTTTATTTTAGTATTTTAATTAGCTTATGGGTTGTATTAAGTTTATAAATTTTTATTTTAGATTACTTGTAAGCTACGATTTTTTATCCTTACGATTGGGGAAGTGTTTTTGTTTTAGAATAAAAGTATCAAAATTAAAATACGTACATGATAATGAAGTTTGTTTTATTTGTAGATTGGGTTCAAGAGAAGAATGATTTTCTTTTATTTCCTTTGTTAGTATAAATTAAAATATTAAATAAAAATTTACTTCAATATATAAAACAATAAACTAAATTTTGTGATATTTGTATTACAAAGGAAAATGATTTACCGTTATGAAAGGGAGTGATGAATATAAAATTTGAGAGAAGCGATTGTAGAAAGCGCCAAATTTAACGAACAACAAAAATGGTAATCGATATATTAGACGATCATGATTGCATGAGTTGTTTGTTTCTTTTTCTCGCAAATTACAGATTTGGACTTGATTTGGTTTCCTGTTATGATTTTCAATTATTTCGCAAGCAATTTTAAATATTTCTACTAAAACAAAAATTAGTTTTAGAATAATATAATCTTATAAAGATTACTGCGGTTGCTGTTGTTTCTGTACTGGTGGTGTTGATGGCGTTGGCGTTGTTGCAACAGCAGCAGTTACTGTATTGTAGCGAGATGTCTGCTGCTGTGGATGATAGAAAAATATTAATGGTTAGCGCCGTGTGCCATAGCTGTTGCCGCCACTGGCTCCTGAGGACTGTGCACTGTTTTGATTGCCTCCGCGTACTTGTGGACCATTGCCATTCGTTGGACCGCTGCGATTCTCGTTGCGATTGAAACCGCCACTGAGGCGTGGTCCACCACCACTAGATTGCCCTCGGGACATGCTGTTGCTGTTGGCACTACTGCCACCAGCATTTCTCATCATGCCGCCGCTGGTTCCGCCGCCGGCAGAATTGGATAGTGAACGAGATTGAGGCCCTCCGCTCATGTTACGTTGCGAATTATTCATGTTTCCGCCCATGCTGTTGCCTCCCATTGACTGTCGTGGCGGCATATCGTTATTTGGGCGCATTGGACGCGGCTTTTTTTCTTCAACATTTAATTTCTGGCCGTCAGGAGAATTTTCTGGGAAGTAAAGCGGCTGTGAGGAAAAAATATTTAAATATTTTAAATTCTGTCATTAATAATAATAATTATCAACTCGTCTAGTAATAAAACTTACACAATTGGCTAAGCAGTTCTGAACTGACTCGGGATCTTCATAAGTAATAAAGCCAAAATTCTGAGGATTCCTTACGCCGGGTGGTAGTTTACCATTAGCTTTTGACATAACTCGCAATTCCAGAACCTGTCCGAAACGTCCAAACAAAGCCTTCAACTCCTCTTCTGAGGCATGATGCGGTATATTTCCAAGAAACAGTTGTTGGTTGTCAGATTGTTGGGCATTGCTTGTGCGGCGTGGTTCATATTCTAAATGAAAATATATATTTTTTATGAAGTGAAAAATTCATAGAGAATATACTTTCTTCCTACGCCTTGACGTCTAACTTACCTTTATTGATTCGGGATGCATTATTGCGTTGGGGCAATGGTCCTCCTTGCGTAACTGGATTCATTGTGTTGCTGTCAAGACGTAATGAGGAAGATTCACTATTGCGGCTATTGTAGACCGAAAGTGATGAGGTTGAATTGGAATTGGACTGGGAATAGGTTGTGCTGGAGATGGTGGTCGCAGAATGGTAAGCATTATTTGATGTTTGTTGTTGTTGCTGCTGCTGTAATTGCTGTTGTTGCTGCATAGCGGCAGTGACGAAACCGCTGGGCGATGAGGAAGTCGACTTAAACAGATTTGCGTACGTCTTGATCTCATTTTGTTGCTGTTGTTGTTGTTTAGCAGCTTCATATTTTTCCTGCTGTTGTTGCTCATTAATCGTTTTAAAATCGTCAACAGCCGCTACGTTATCAGTTGCAGCCAATAGACCGGCTGAGCCCGAGCGAGGTACTGATTCAGTATTGCTGGTCAAACTGGAACTAATGACGCCATCTTCCAAATCTAAAACCGATGACTGTTGAGCGATCTGCGTTTGTTGGATCAATGGTTGTTGCAAAGGTTGTGGTTGTTGTAAAACTTGGGACTGAACCAATGGAGATTGTTGGAAGCCTGGAATATTTGCAGTTGCCGGTACTGCAACGGGAACAGCAGTTACTACAGCAGTTGAACCAGTTTGGCCAGCAATTACTGGGGTAGCTGCAGTCATATTTGTAGACTGCTGTACCACAGGTGAAGCAGACGGTCCAACAATCTGTTGTTGTCCTTGCCCTGGCTGTTGCTGCTGATTTCCAGTAGATAAGAGATCATCATGCCCAACAACACCATTTAGCTGAACCTGCTGCGACACAACGGCTGTTGGAGCGGCTGCTGGAAATGACACAGCACCAGTTGCCTGTGCTGCAGTACCAGTCAATAAGGGAACTGGACGACCGCCAGAGGCTGGCACCGAATAGTAAATGGCTTGTTGTTGTGGTGCACCAACGGCTGGCTGTGCACCAGTTTGTTGTGGCAACACACTTGTACCGGCTGTTGAATTCACCACCTGTGTGGACAGTTGAGCCAGTTGTTGAGGCTGTTGTTGTTCAGCAGTAGCAGGTCCACTACCAGTGACTAAGTTTGAACCGACTTGTTCATTTCCCGGAGCACCTGCAGAAGTAGCAGCTGATTGTTCATGTTCTTCGTCATGTTCCGTACGGGTTTCGGCATCGTTCTCCTCATCCGAAAATACGTCTTGATAACGAAAAATATCATTATGAACATAATATTTTTTCGGCGACTGCGATGCTAATACAAAAGTTTGCGTAAAGCGACGCATGGGCTGACCATCATTGGACAATTCGCCGGTAACCTGTACGACAACGCCATTACCTAGTGTGGCCTGAGCATCCACTTGACTTATCTTGGCATGGCAGTCATTAAAATTTAGCTGCTGAATGCGGTTGTAGATGTTTCGCTGACCCACCACCAAAGTTGATTCGCCGTGTATAAAGGATGAGTTGTTATTATAAAAACGATGCAAATGACTTGGTGCACGATTAAGCAAGGTATAGTATTGGCGCACAAATTCGCGGCCAACAGATTGCGGAGATGGCTGTTGTGATTGAGTTGCATCCATTACCATTGCGTTTTTCTCTTAAACTTTCGCTCTCTTGCGGATTTTTGGTTTTACTTTAATTGATTCACAAGGTAAAGTCCAGCAATATGCGGATGGCGAGCCGTTCAATAGGCAATATAAGGGATAGAACCAAAAATTTTAAGCTTCGTTTTTGGTGGATAATTTTTAGAATCTTTAATAACGGTAAATGTCCTTCGGTTGTATCGCCAGTTTGTTGAAATAACCGAGTGCGATAATATATTCGAGCAATTTATACTAAAATAAAGAACAAATATTACTTTTTGTATTCAATAATTTTACGAAAAATTTTAAAATATAGACATTTCATATTGCACCTTTTTCAGTCGTTGCTTAACAAAAATGTAAAGAATTGAGTTAAAAAATTTAAATTTTATTGAAAAATATTTAAGATTTCAGTTGACCCATACAGCATAATTGATAACATTAGAGCAATTTTACACTATCTTCAGACTTAAAAACATTAGATTATAAAAGGAAAAAAATATATGTATATTCATAAAGAAGACAGGACTTCGGTTGTTGTTCCGTACAACGGACGAATTTCAATTTTTATAGAAACCGTAATCATTAAAAGCTTTAGTAGGAGAAGAGAACTTTTTTGATTACTCTCATTCCATGTTATTTATGGACAAATAGCGCTTTGAGTTAAGTTACTAGGTGTCAAGCGATCACTGATACGAAACTTATACAGCTATTTTGTCTAAATTTTTTTATCTCGTCCAAAATTTAAAAGCACTAAAAGAAACAATAAGGTAGTTTTTATTGAATGAAGTGTATCATGTAGCGATATCATTACAGCTATGGCTGTTATTTTGGTAGCTGGAATGGAAAGAGTCCTTGAGTAATTTGCGGAATGTGACGATTTGATTTCCTAGCGCGTATAAAATTCAAGATATGTCTATCGTGGGAACGTTATAATCTCTTCGCATTTTATACACAACTTCTTGACAATCGGGTCTACGTAAGCGAAAATGATCTTCCACACCTCCAAATAATTTATGCCGCTAACACAAATATAATATAAACCTATTTAATTATGACAGCTTTTCTTCAATCCTTATTATATAGACCTTGAACAATCGAAGCGGTACAAAGAGAAATTAGCAAATCTGTTGTTGTTGTAACGATCTGATATATAGCGGTACACGAATTGTGAAATAAATTTAGGCACAAAAACTGAAGACAGTTTCAAAAAACAAAAAACAAAATTATTACTCAATGTGGTTATAAACCTAGTCTGAACAGGGTTTATTGTTTGCCACGGTGTTTTCCCAGAAGCAGTAATATACCCGCCTAAATGATTAGCGTAACGCGAAGAGTTGATTTATCTACTTAGTATATACGCTCTAAAATTAGCAATATAACATAAAGCTGACATACAAACTAAGCGATCAAAATAAAGTTCTTGAAATTGAGAACTTTTTTTCTTTAAAAGTGTATCTTCACATTGTTCAAGGCTATATCTGAAAACATTTTCAAACCAACCGATCTAAATCAAGTTGTATGGGAATTTTTTTTTATTTCGGAAAGTTATCCTACTTTATAGAAATCGAAGTTTTTCTTGTTTTTAGCTACAGTATTTACCTATCACAAAATAATGATTATAAAGACGCATATATTCAAGTAAAAAAATAATTTTAAAGTATGAATATTTGATCCATATTTTCAAATAAAATAAGACTTGTGTTTGAAAATATTCGTTTACACCTTTTTATAGGTTGTATAGGTTTAGGCTATTGCTGCTACAACAAATAAATAAAATTAAAAAATCCGAAAAGTGGGGTATCGAACGCTAAAAACTTTAAGCTCTTTGAGGTTAATGTAGAAAAGGACTTATGAAGTATGTAAATGTCAGACACGCCGCAACACAACGCATTAGCAAACAGAAAGAGTTAAAACACTCAACATACTGTGGCTTTAAAATAATTAGTTATAAATCCTAGTCTAAATATTATATTTTTTATTCCATAAATTTATATTAAATGTCGATTTTACTTACGCTCTTTTTTGATGGGGGAAGCGTGTGGTTTATGAATAGGTTTTGTAATGCACGGAGTATTGCTTTAGCTTAATGGTGTTTAATTATACAGCATGTGTTTCTTCTATTTTAGAGTTGGTATCTACGCGATTTTCATTGAAACTAAAGTACTCTTCCTGTTATATCAACAGAAATGGATTGAAAATCTGCAAAATCTTTTGTTGTCCAAATTATTACAATCAACGTTTTCTTGGTGTTTCTCCGGTTCCCTCGTTTCTTCTTCAACGTCTTCTTCTTCTTCACTGTCGTCGTCGTCTTTTGGATACAATGCAGTCGTTTCGGCTTCCAAATTCTATGCCTTTCCCTTGCGAGAATATATTTTAATTATTTGGCAAAATCGCTTCCCAATATACTTTCTCACAATCTTCTTATTGATTGATCACAGTTGCAATTTATTTAATTGTATAGTACTAATAATAAATTTTATTTTAATTTAATAATGCAGCTCGAAATTGAACAAGTATTAAGTTGAATTGAAATGAGACAAAATTGTACTCACTCTGTGCACTATTATTTTGCTCCATGGCGTGAAATGCGTTTTTCTTCGTACGCATATACTTGTCTTGCTTACTCTTGAGAAATACCGAAATACAAAATATTTAGCGTGCCATGTACCTATATTTTATCCACAATGAAAAGCGTCATGATGTGCTGCCACCTAAAAATAGTGTAAAATAAAATGAACTTTACATTTGTTGAATAAATTTAGCAATTAAAAATTAATGTATATGAGAATCAAATAATGTTATGCAAAGATGTTTATTAACATAATCCACAAAACTTTCGCTTTTTAGCAGTATAAAACTGTCACTGATAATGAATATGTCAATAAGAGTGCTATTTTTTGAAATGTCCCATATATGACCATAACCTCTATAAGAAAAATTAAAACTACGAAGTTAATGCACTAAATTATTAAACCCTAATAGCAGAACATAACAAACATTAAGAACAGTGAACATATTGCGTACTAGCGAGTCTATAAAATTTGCACAATTAAATGCTATGGCAAGCTAAAGTTTTCACATAACAGGGCATTTCGACAGGATAAAATTTATAGTAACTGTCAAACGTATTGCTATTGCCAAATCTGTATGTGGGAATTTGTTATCACAACATAATCATTTGCGCAAAGGCGTAGGGTGGGTAGGTTCGATCTGATGTAGCGCATGTTTTCAACTCCTTAAATCTTTTATGTGGAAAATAAAAATAGGATAAAGATCCTTTTTTCCAAATGTGCTTCTGGGAAAAATAAGACTTCATATTTTTGGACTACTACATATATAATAATTCTGGCATAAATTTTAGTTACCAATTAAAATAATAAAATTGAAATGAGCAATACTATTTTTATTTATGCTTGTATAAGTTGATTAAATTTAAGACTTCGCTCATTCCCAACCCAATTTGCATAATTTTTCTGTAAATGAACAATATTAATTTTTTGGTAAAATTTTATTTTGAAAATGTACTTTATTTTTATAATATAACACAGCCGTCTTAATACTCGCTCTACTAAATTTCATATTACCGATTACTTCGAAATTTTCATAGAATTGAAAACTGCGCTGTTAAACTGCCGAAGTGACAATTAGTGGAATACTAATTAGTATGCCATATATTGAAAGCAATAAGCAATATGGAGTCGCCACAGGCAATAGGCACGGCAATATAGTTAGTATAACATAAATTTAATCCTGTCGAGATGCCACGTAAGTGTAGGCAAGTTCTGTAGATTGAGCCTTAACTTTTCACGTTGCACATCACTTAATGAAATCGTTTCTTTCATGGAGGAATTGTTAATATAATTTGAGTATTAAAAAGAGAAAGGAAAAAGGACAACTATATTTTGGTATTCAGCACGTGATTTAGCTATTCAGCGAAGCCGAAGTCGCATACGAATAACAAATTTTCGAGTTTGTCTCTTCCGGCCATTACAGCAGTCAGTACGGCTCGCCACGAGTCTAGAAATTTGTGTTGAATCATTAAAATAAAGTTGAACAACCTGAATTGCAATATTTTAAAGTTTATATTGAAAGTATATTAGTGTATCCCTGCCAAATAGTTATTTAAAAATAAGAAATGGCTGATTCCAAGAATAACGATGTTGAGATGAACGGTGAGGACTTCTCCAAAGACGTCACTACAAGCGAAAATGAGAACGGTACCGGCACCAATGGTACAAATGGAAACGCTGATGGCCAGTCAAACGCACGGGATGACGACAGGTAAATTTGTGGAGAAATTATATTTGTTTATTAATTTCTATACAAAATATCTATTTAAATAGTATTAAATGAGTGGTTGATTTTTAGTATCAGAAAGTGAGTTTTTCGAAGTGTTACGTAAAAGTTTTGTTATACTACGGGATATAAAGAAAGTTGACTGGTCAATGGGTAGGCGAACTGGGGGGGAATCCATATTTTCTGTATGTCGTACCAGAATCGTCTACCTCTTTGTTCAGTCTGTTCGAGGGTGTGTGTGAATATTATTTGTTGCCTGTTTTTTTGCGCGTATGTGTGACTGTACTTCGATATGGCTTCAGCACTTTTATGGGTACATTTTCATGTACAATTAATTTTTACCTAGAATTTCCACCGTTAATTCAATTGAAATGAACTTGTAGGTTTTTTTTTTTTTTTTACTAAATCTATAGATATTTCTAACAAAAGTGTCTGTATTCACAGGATAGTAAGGAACTCCCAACAGTTTACTCTAAATACAACTACTTCATGTATGTATACTTGTATCACGTTGGAGTACATTGTTTGTATGTAGTCACATTTTTCATTAACATTTAATTTTTCTAACAAAAATTGAGGTTATGTGGTATTTTTGCTTACTTGTGCACTGAGCACGCTTTATTGGCCGCAATTTTTTGAAATCTGCTTTACGATATTTTTTTTTTTTACCTAATCTAAAATTCTCTTTCCAAACTTGTTTTAAAAAATGGCGGTCCAAAACAAAAGCAAAAAAATCTTCGCTTGTCTACCTCTTCGTCGTTCTTAAAATTAAGCAATGCCGGCGTTGGCGCGCTTTGTCAATGCGGAAATGGCAATGCCGGCTGAGTATCAAGTGGCTTCCAAATTGTTATTGTCGATATATGACAGCTTTTGAATGCTTTTAAACAATTGTTGAAATAATGCAAAATGGCAAATTTCTGTCCTATCCACAATTTCGACAGTTTGATGGATCTTAAATTCAGAATACTTGTGGCTACATTGAGTACTTTTATTGGTGATAGTAGACAAACTACTATTTTTTTTTTTAAATCAAAACGATACTGTTTCTGTTCCTCAAAATAAAAGTGAAAATATGTTTTATACAAAAGTGTTATCACATTTTTTTTTAAATATTATGATTTCACTCCTTAAGAATGATATAGCAATTATATATTTTCCGTCTGTTCATGTCGCTCCTCAATTAAATTAAAATACTTGCAAAATAAATATAGTAAATGGTTTCAATAAGTAATATCCTTAACTACAATTGATAAACACTAAAATACGAGTAAGTCTTAGAAAATATTTTTCTTGATTTCCAAATATACATATATAAATATTTGCAAACTTAGATATTTAAAAAGAAGTAGTTCTTTAGAATCATTTTCAATTTCTTGAAACTATTAAAACGTTACTTCATTCTCTTGAGACGTAAATTTCGTTACTTATTTCGATTGTAATTTCGGATACATTTTTATTATCAATCAAGTTAAGTTTAGGGTCATATCTGCTTGGATTTATATTGAAATATACTAGTAAATTTTTAATAATAGTGAAGTCGTTTATATTGTTTATTATGTGCTCAAAGTGAAAAAGATTTGTATCGCAGTTCGAATTACTCCGTTCATTTTAAAATTTGCTCATTATTGCAAAATTAACATTTCTTGCTATCATTAGAAAATAAAGTGGTTGGATATCTGGCAAAGTTCGATTAGAGATGTATAATTAATTGTTGTATGTAAGGAAAGTTTTTCATGCTGTAACATTTCTGTCTTCGAAATATTATTAATTATTCTATAAGTTTTTTTTAAATGATCCTTATGTATTTATATTCCGAATATGAAATTTTTATATCTCAAAATTTAGAAAAGTAGTTGGTTAACATAAGTATTTGAAAAGACTTCTATGTTTTAAATAAATAAATTTAAATGAGATTGTACAAAATGGTCAAGAAATAGAAACAAATAAAAATTATTTCTAAAATTATTACAAATATTTGTTTTCTTCTTTATGCAGTTTATGAGTGTCATGTAATCTTCAAAATGTCTATAATGCATTAATTATTTTAAGAGAGTATTTGCCAGAATCCAATCAGTGCCGCCAGAGCTAATTGAGTTTTTGGGCGAAAGTCAAGCAATTAATTGCATGTTGGTTAAGATAATTTATAAATGTAAATGTAAGAACTTGAATATATCGGAAAAAAGTTCTATTTTAAAGGTTAATGTGTAAATCAATAGATTGAACCGTAAATTTAAATGTGAATTGAAGAGGATCGGAAAATTTCAAAAATAAAATATGTAATATTCTAAGAGCAATGACTAATGGACTAAATATAATAAACTACTTTTGACTGATTTCACGTGTCACGGATGCCGTAAACATATGCAAATATATATAAATATATATATATCATAAACGTAAAGAGCATGTAAAATGTTGTTGCAATAGGATAACAATACCCTATTTTCCATCATTGCTTTCCTGTTGTGTTTGAGCGAACTAATCTTGTTCCTCTCCGGCAGGTAATGAGTGATGAGCATAAACAAGCCAATTATAGCTACGCTTATGGAAATCTGCAGATCAACTACAACTCACTATCACTTCATTAGTAACAATGCCGGCAGGTAGCTTAGCAACGGCTTCAGCATGTGATCACTAAAAGGGTGAATTTTGGTGATTTTAACGGAATTGTCAATAGCTTGATGTATTTATGCGCACAATAGAAAGTGAGTCCTTTAAGAATGCTGGACACAAAATGCTTAAGACGACATCATGGTACATTGCCCAGCAGCTAACATCTTTTACTGGCCACTGGATTCCTAGCATCAAACATGGCGTTGAGGCACCATTCACGAAACACTTGTCGATGGTATTTATCTATGAAAAACAAAATAGAAGCAAATTATACAAGATACACAAAATTAACTTTAACTTGAGAAAATTGGATTACCATGATGTACTGTTAATATTTTTGAAGTGTTTTTTAAGTGTTTTCTATTCTATCTGAAGTTGAAATTTTAAATTGAAATTTCGTTACTTGCTTTTTATAATATTTTAAAAATATCTATAATTATTAGTTTAAAATATCGAAAAAGAGTTTTAACTAACCGTGAAATTATTACAATTATATTATTACGCTTAATCGCCCTAGAATTAGAATTCAAATATCGGTTGTCTTTGCTGGTTTAAAGGGTCGATTCGGTTATAATAATTAGTGTTGCAGTTTTGGTCTTTTACATAAAAAATTTATTTCAAGTTCCATAGATCGTTTAACGTGAAATAATGTAATACATGCAAAATGGAAACAGAACTTTTGTATTTCGTATCTTTCGAACTCCATTCATTTTAAAATAATTAATTTTCATACCTAAAGAGATTTAATGGCTCTCTGCCCCCTACTCGCAGATATTTGGTGAGTTTGTTGTTATTTGAAGTGTTTCGAATATAAAAAAAAAATATTAAATATAATACCACGTATCTACTATTATTTTAAATCAATCAATTTAAAAACCTATTTTCCAAATTTTTTATAGTAAATATTTTTTTATTCTGAGCGCAACACATTTCGCTGGACTAAATAAATGTAATATGTACTAATTATTTCTTTCTCGTCGTTACAGAAAACTTTTTGTTGGCGGTCTGAGTTGGGAGACTTCTGAGAGTAAGTAAATAAAATTTCGGAAGAAATATGATTGAGCAATGTTTATATGTTATATGTGCTTTTGTAGAGGAGTTGCGCGAACATTTTGGCAAATACGGAGAAATTGAAAGCATAAACGTGAAAACAGACCCACAGACTGGCCGTTCACGTGGCTTCGCTTTCATTGTTTTCACTAGCACTGAAGCTATTGACAAAGTTCACGCCGCTGGTGAACATATAATTAACAACAAGAAAGTCGACCCCAAGAAGGCCAAGGCCCGTCATGGAAAAATTTTTGTTGGTGGTCTTACAAATGAAATCAGTGATGATGAGATCAAAACATATTTCAGCCAATTCGGCAATGTAAGTAGCAATAACAATAAATGTGTACTATTCACATTGTAATCTAATGTATTATTATATTTTTAGATTGTCGATGTTGAGTTGCCATTTGATAAGCAAAAGTCACAGCGTAAGGGATTCTGTTTCATTACATTTGATTCTGAACAAGTGGTAAATGAGCTGCTGAAAACACCTAAGCAAAAAATATCCGGCAAGGAAGTTGATGTTAAACGTGCAACACCGAAGCCAGAAAACCAAATGATGGCTATGCGTGGAGCCCGTGGTGGCATTCGTGGTGGACGTGGAGGCTTTGGACGTGGTGGTAAGTTAATAAGAATTTTAAAACGTTTGCTTTTATATGCATTTGTATGTTTCATATTTTTGACAACATATTTCTTAATCCTTCTAAAGCGGATTTTTTTTACATAATTAAAAATATATTTTATTTTAGGATATCCACAATGGCCAGGTCAAGGTGGTTATGCTCCATATGGCGGTTATGCAGGTGGTTATGATCCAGGCTATGGAGACTATTACAGCGGGGGCTATTATAATGGCTATGACTATGGATACGGTAAATACCAAACACATAGCAATTTACAATCAAACTCAAATTATAGTTATAATAATCCTACCGGTTATCACCACAAAAACAGTAACAACTACCAACAATTTAAATAAGAACAAAAATTATATAAAATGTATTTCATTGTTGCTTGAGTAATGAAATGATATGCAGCTAAATGCATATCAATTGTTTGGTGTTATTTCAATCTGTAAGACTCAAGTCGAGATTCACCAGCTCATTACTCAGCGCATGATACACTACACACAACACAATTTTTTCAAATACCCTGATACTAGATTCGTAAAATTTTACTTTCAATTACGAAAATGAGAAACAAAAACAAAAACGTAATTATAATTAATATATACATAGTTATCTTCAAACAAAAAAAAAAAAAAAAAACATTGAATTAAGATGAAAAATATAAATAACTATTTGGTATTTGCTTTCATCTTTATTTCACAAATATATTTGTAGAGTAAAAACTATTATGCAAAACTTTTATTGTTAATAATTATTACTTTTAAATTTGAAAAAGAAAAAAAATAGTTAATACGAAAGAGAACAATACGTTTACAGCAATGTACTGGCGACGCTTTTATTATCAGTGTGCCATTTTGAGTACTTGCCCCTAATGAACAACAAGTAAAGAAAGTGAATAAAAATGACGAAGAGTGTATTTAACAAACAAATAAATTGCAATTGCTTCAAATTCGTGTATGTTACATATGCGTATGAAACACTAAATACTTTGTATTTGCATATATAAGAATGAAACAAACTTAGTAACTACATACGTGTTATTACATTGGACACATTGTTGTTAGTCGCTATGAGAATTTATGAGTAAGAAAGACCAAAGTTAATGAAAAATATTCACTGCTTAACAAGCAAATAAATACCTCCAATTGCCTTATTAGCTACACAACATAAGAGAACTGTCACCTATATGTGCCAAAAATATCGAAAGAGCAAAAAGATAGAATGTAGCAATGTCAGTTGATCGCATTAGTAAAACAGCTCGAAAGTGGAAATAGTTTTCTTGTAGTCTTATTGGAAAATAAATTATATTTTTTAATGTAATTTCTCGTAGGCTGCTTGCTAACTATTATCTTTTCCCTTCGAATAAGGCATAATGTGGACAACTTGACAATAATTTTTTTTAATTTTTTTTTTTATTTTACAAGTTTCTCTTCTCTCATATATTAGCCTAGCCATTCAGTTAAGCGCGCAAATATATATAAAAAGTCAAATATATTTTGCATAGAGATTGTAACTACTATTGCGCTTTAAATGGCTGCTTACTTAAAAACCAACAACAGACAGAAAAGAACTAAAAAACTCATGATTTTCTTCCGACTTTTAAGTCAAACCCAGAGCGAAGAAATAAAGAAAACTTCCTTTTTTTCTTAGTTTATATGTTATTATTTTAACAAATTATTGTCCTTTGGCATGTGGAAGCTATGATATGTATGTGAGCCTCATATACAACAGACCCACTACATGCCAGTCGATAGTGATGAATATATTTTTAGACGCATATATTTTCGTATGCAACTATACATAAAATACATATACATAAGTGAATATATTTTTATTGAATATATATGTATAAATGCTATATACATATAATTGTTATATATACATATATGTATACCTTTACAAGCATACTGTTCTATATGGTATTATATGGACTGTTTGCATGAATGCAAATAAATAAATGAAAAAATCTACAGCGTAGGCGTTTTAAGCCGTAAAATATATGAAATATGAGAGGAGCATTGTTGCTGTGCAACAACAATCCTTACACACGCACATCGATCGGCTGGATAGATGATTGCGTGTATGCACGACTGCTGGCGCTTTATTCTCCAGACACATACATTTATAATCACTTTAATGAATATCGAAAATGTGAAAGATTTTTAAACAATGCATTTTCCTGATCTCAACGTGATGTTTTGTGGGGAGACAGATTACAGATACAAAAGGCGGCAGTTAATGATAAATGCATACACACATCGAAGTGACTACTCACATCTAGTAGTATTTCTTTTATTTGCTATACCAACTTTTGACATTTCAGAACAAAAATCAGACTTCAGACATCAAAATAGTAAATTTGACATAGTTTTCAAAACATAACCGCAAACGTTAACCCGTATAGGTCTAGTTCTAACTAATTTACTTGGACAATTTTGTTTAAATACCATTGTTGAAATTTAGCATCGCAGATTTATAACGAAACCACCGCTGTCTGATAAATCGTCCAACTCGAGCTCCAGGTTCTGTTTTATTGGAATGCGCAAGGGTGGCGTTAGAATATAATTACAAGTTGTTACAATTTATTGTGTTTTGTGAGAATCAATTTTCGAAGGAAAAATTAGAGCAAATTTTATTAAAACATAAAAGCTTAATAATACACACACTTCGTCAATTTTAAAGTAAATGTTTTAAAAACGAACTTTATTTGTGAAAAACTATAGACAAATGCCTAGCGTAACTTTTATTTGAATTGATAATGCTTATGCAAGTCGACCAACCGAACAAAACAGTTGGATATTTTTTCTTTTTCAACATTTGACAAAATACACTCATCACCACTAAGCGATTTAATTAGGATACCCTTTAAAATATGTATAAACATTCTAATTTTTTTTGTTTGCAAAAGAATGGTGTTTATGCACGACTTTCAATTTGCAACTTAGTATGTGGTGGTGTCAAAAGTAAATAATGCAACGCGGACATGGTTTATTTCCGTACGAATTAAGTTCTGTTACGGATTTAAACCTTTGCCTGAACGCAGAATACAAGAAAGTTGTGATTTATTGGATTTTGACCCATGCACTTCTAAATGTTTCAATTCTTAAGATATCATTATTCGCTAAATTAAAATTAAATTTGTTTGTGCTAAAATCACTTAAACAGATCTATAAAAAAAAAAACAAAAAACGTAAACATTTGCATGTTTCTCAGTGTTAAAACTTGTGCAAATACACGAGCCAAAAATATATATCTTCATACCTATGTAACTTATATTATATATCCGCCTATTTTATTTAAAATATATATTTGACTAAATGTAATTAATCAAATTAGTAGAGAAAAGGCAGCACTAAAAGTTGGAGTATGCAAGTTTTCCAGAAAAAAAAAGTAATAAAATTGAGAAAACCAATAAATATTTGAAACAAGAAAAAAAAAACACACTTTCAATAAATGTTTACCCCAACCTTTAGTTGCCTTGGTTTTAAAGTTATTAATTATTTGTAATTATTATTTGATTTATATTTTTTAACTTATATTACATTACATTTTCCGTAGCACTTACTAAATGTGTTGATTGAAATCTTAATATATACAAATATATATTTGTGAAACAATCTGATTAAAAGATAGTATATGAAATAACTTTGTAATACCGAATTTTCTGATGTTTCGCCTCACACCACAAACCTATAAGATATATACCTTATACCAAATACCGAATACCGCATACCGAATACTACTACTGAAACAACAAACTAACTTGATACCGTTTGCCGCTCGCTTCAATTACAAAGTACACACATATTTCAAAGATTTCACCATGTGATGAAAAAAGCAAGTATTTAGTAATGGCGACCACAATTTCACCTTTAAATGACGGCAAGACATTTTTCGACGGCTTAAGTTGGCAGCGGTAAACACAAGAAAACATTGTTTCATAAATAAGCTCAAGCTTACATAATTTTCTTGTTATCTTGCTGCCAATGACTAAAAGTTTTTATGTTGAAGAGTTGCGGCTGGTTACTATTGTAGAGTTTTATAAGTCTTTTGAAATTAAATTTTTTAGTTTCTTTTTTTTTTTATCACTTCCTAAACGTTGATGTGAATTTCTGAACCTTGACTAACACTTGGAAAACTAAGAAAATTAATTTAAACTTTTTTTTATATTTTCTTATTTACAATTCTTCCAATTCTCAGTAAATACACATTTGATTTTCTATAATAATATTGAAAATTATTTAATTTCTCCGTAATAAGTAACTACAATCAAGCACTCTACCAATTTTTTTGTTTTGGTTTCTTAATTCATATATTAATAATTAATTGTAAACAAAGTTAGAACATACATGTTTTTCTTATAATATAAAATTTAACTATAATTAATATTTAATAATGGAAAATCTGGCACGTTTTGCATTAGTTTAACGTCGAGTATGGAATTAGTTGTACACTTCATAGTTATTCACATATTTTTAAAAAACAATTTCAATACTTAGAAAAAAATAATTATATAACATAAAATTTGCGTTTGCGTTTTTGTTTTTCTCTGTAAAATTTTACACTAGTAATAATTTAAATCATAAATATCTTAAAAACTAAATCGAAATTATAAACTATATTTGAAAGTCCCATGAGTTGCATATGTATGAATTTCTAATATTACTTCCAAAAAGAAAAAAGAAAAATAATTAAAACGCCGACGACGACGACGAAGAAGATGAAAGCGAGTGATGAAGTGAATTATTGAAGTATAAAAGAGTGTTTTTGGTGAGGTGAGACATTCAAAACACAGAAAAGCAAGTAAAGCAGATATATTGAATTAGACGAAAATCGTTTCGGTGTTAAATGGCAAAAAATATAATAACTACACTCTTTTGGCACAATTTGTTAATGTCTGTTATTTGCTGGACAAAATTATTGGGCAAAATTTCAAAACTGATTTAATTGCTCGATACATTTTCACTCTCAAATAATGATTTTTGCCATTGGCATTCACCGAAGTGCGCTTTCGTATATAAAATATCCTCTGGCATAAAAGTTTTGCAATGAAAATACTGTGTGTGAAAATGAGGTACCTTATATTAAAAAGGGTTTATATATATGTAAATGCATATGTGAATATTAGACAGTTGTAAAGAAACAGCAATTTGAAACATGTAAACAATTATGCGTCGACGCAATACATTTTTTTACTAATTAAATGAAAATGTTGAATCAAGCGTAAGATTATTGGCGGTATTGATGTTGCTTACAAAAGGTTTGATGACAATTGCTGCAATTTAAAGGGTTCGGGTTAGAAAGCATTTGAAAGCTAATTGTAAGCTTTTCAAAATAACTGAGATTGTTGCAATTTTTTCTGTTTAGCGCTGTTTTGTGCAGATGAAAAAAAAATCCTTTTTAAAAACTCGAAATCCTTTAAAAACATGATAAAAAGATACATATTTATGTTGACGTTATCAAGCTAAAGTTATGTAAAAGTCACAAAGAGTATAAATGGACATTTTATTCTTATTGTCAGTATCAGCCAAACTGCAGAACGTTTAGAAAACAACATTATTCAATTCAAAAACAATTGTAGGCATATATAAATAATCTATTATAAATCTACATACATTATTATATTAACTCGCAACATTATAATCCAAATCGAAGAGCAAATAAAAGAAAGAAAACTAAAAACCACCGCTTTTCTTACTTCTACAATAGAAAACAGAGTGTTCTCTGTAAAAGTTGTGGTTCTCGTCTAGATAATCGCTGTTATGGATAACTCTCGTCGCCTTGAGTCACAAATTAAACTTCGTCTATCACTCGCTTTTCTTCTTTCCTACAACTTTGGTTTTGGCGTTGGCGTTGGCGTTTGTCTTTGGGTGGTAGGTAAGTTCCGCTTCAAAAGTTCAAAAAGTTGTAGCGGCAAATTGATGCACTTACTGCGGATACATATGTCGCGGTCCAAATTAGGGTTGCAATAACTTTACTAGCGCCAAACACCACAGCCGGACTGAAATTTAAACTTGATTTTAAAATATTAACTGGTTTAAAGATAATTAAAAGATCAATTTTATCGTCATTAAGCATATTTTGGTACCATTTTCAGAGATATTGCAGATTATACCTTTATAATTAAATACGCTATATATCAATATCATTACGACTAAATGCAGAAACACTTTTAATTTATGTGTGTATTTTTAATATGGTATCGTTTTGAGATACTCTAGAACTTTGAATATTGAAATGCTCTCATAATTAGTATATTAAATATTAAATAACTGAATATTCTTTTTGTCTCAAACACAAATTGAAAATAAAATTTCAAACCACGGGCCAACAACCATGCAATGAAAATGTTTACGCTCTGCACCATGCATAAAACGCATCATATTATATTTGAATCAATGCATGTTCAAACCACAATTTTCTCAAACCAAATATCAAATGAAATAATTGTAAAGATTACGGCTACGGAGGTGGTTATGATGGCGGCTACGGTGGCGGTAGCGGCGGCGGTGGCCGAGGTGCCGGTGGTCCACGCGGCGGTCCAAAAGGTATTAAAATCACAAATAATCAGCAAGTTGTTAAATATTTCCAAAATTAATTTTGTTTTTTTTTTTTGCTTGTCTACCATAGATTTTTATACATCTCCAACAAAATTTTGTACCAAAATTTGTTAATTGAAAATCTAAATGAAATTGTTTATGGCACATACGGTTAAATTCGTTGACTATCGGATTTTTCCTTTTGATATTGAAATATTAAAAAAAAAAAAAATAACATTTCAAAATATTTGGCCTTTAAAATTTATTTTGTACACATATTTTTATTTTATATACATATGTATGGTTAAGAAATCCAATCTCATTTCATCCTGTCAACTCTTTTGTGATGATTGCATCATTTCCGGAAAATAAACCAGCACTTAAAATTTGTGTATAATGATTTTATGCGATTTTCGTTCTCTAACCGGAACTGGTGCAAATTAATCTATATAACATAACATAGGGACGTATTTCTTAGACCATAAAATAGCTTTTGTTAAGTAAGTTGTTTTCTGTAGTTCAAAACTTTGGCTAAGTTCCCTTACCACTTGTTTCTACCCTGTAGCGCATGTTGAATTTTATAAATATTTGGGTGCCCGTTGCCGTCTCGGCGTAATCAGACTTGCACGTACATTCATATTCGCATTATATATTTGTATTCCTTATTAGGTGCCGGCGGCTATCCTTCGGGAAAGCAAAGAGGGACAGGACGCCAGCCCAGACACCAACCCTACTAATCAAGTTCATTGCAATAAGTTGATAGTAATAAACAAGCGCTGGTATACAAAAAATCACACACTACACGAACTTAATTCTTTGGTTTAAGTTTTTACTGATCGCTTGGAAATTAACTATACAAACGAATTATATGATTTCTTCTGGTAAGTAAAAACATTTTACAAAAATAACAAACGCTTCTAGAAACTCGGGTTTTAAATATGCACGACAAAAATAGGTTATAATTATTACTTAAATTCTTCAAAAGTAAAAAGTTGAAAATATCGATTTAATATGTATTATTTGAAAGTTCCCTAATAGGTATCGTAGTGATTGATTTCAAATACATATATTTCGGTGTAACTGAAATTATACAATCGTGCTCACGTTACTACCGAAATGTGAAAAATAACTACGTTGAAAACAATGTTTGATTTAATTAATAAAAAGAAAATGTTTTACGACTGAAATATAATACATTTTTACCTTATATCTTTCTCAGTGTTATATTTAACACGTCGCATGCACACACGGAAACGAGAAATTTGGCACCTGGAATAAACACTACAACAAGAAACAACAACATAAATATGCTTAGAGACCCAGTGCTGACAACAACACCCCATTCCAAAAGGTTAATCATCAATCATATGAAAAAAATCTCATTGTGGTCGGCACGGTTTAAACAATCAATTTAAGTTCGTATGTGTGTCAAGAGAACAAAAAATGGAAAATACACCGGCCTTACTTTTTTACCAGAAGTGCAAGCAAAAAAGTCTACTAATTCAGCGTTGCATTCATTGCAGTGTCAACTTAACAACAATTCGGCAATCAATAGTTTATTAGCAGTACTTTTCAGTAGTTTTAGATCATATATATTACACTTAATCTTATGTTACCTAATATACTTATTTACTTTAAAATGGTAATTTTTATGCTCTAAGTAGTAGTTGTGGTATGTTATCAGTTAGCAATTTGTAATTATCAACTCTGCCCTTAGCCCCATTGGAAATGCTATTTTCCTTACCCGCATCCTATCCACATATAATCCGTGCGCACAATGCACCTCCACACACGCGGATACATGCCGTATGTATGTGCGTGTCTGAGGTGTTTGTTTGCAAATTTCATTTACATCAACTTGTCGCTCAATTCGTAATAAAGCTGTCACGTTGTCGTTTGATAGCGTTTATCTTTTCGCTAGTATACATAACGTGCGTTATGTACTATTTTTTATACTTATCTATACTTACTACTAATGTCTAAAAATAAGCGTATAACAGAAAGAATGGCAAACAAACAAAATAAACTTACCAAGTTATGCTTAAATTCTGAGTACTATCAAATGTCAGAAGAAAAAGAGAGTGTGGTGAGAGAGGGTGTATCGTCGACTAACACAACAAAATAAAGCTGCATCCATAGCAAAACAACAAAAACGTATCCACCAAAATATTCGACGCAGAATTCAACTAAAGACAAATTATGTATGTACAGTTACAACAGTTGCATACATATCCATACAATTCAATACATACATATATATATATTTATTCTCATAGTATATATATATATATAACGCAGAAGTAACATCATAAAAGAATTTATATATTTTAATAAAGATCTAAGAAAAAACAAAACACAGGAGTGAATGTAATTAAGATCACTATTGGGCGGCGGGAAGTAATATAGGCAAACAAAATAGTTTTAGTGATAACTTTTCAATTACGTAAGGCAAATTAAATAACCTGAGGGATTTTCTTCCTTTAAGTCACAGCAAATAGACTATGATATGGATGTGTGCGTAGTATGTACTATATACATACATATGTATATATACCACAATATATGTAACATTAAACGTGAAGTTTTTTCTTCCAAAAGTATCCGTAACATAATATTCGAACCGATTTCAGGTAGGTTAATGCAGGAATGATCAAATCGAGTGGTTCACGGTCACGTTTACCGTTATTTATTAATGCACGCGGCACTTACATACTTTCCGCTTTTGCAGCGTGTGTAAAGGGTGGGCAATTTGCAGACTTTGAAAAGAAAGTTTTTTGATAAGCAGAAAATGTTTTACTGTACTAAATGTGAAACAATTTCGATACATTGCGCGAATAAGAGATGTGTGTTTGTGTGGAGTGAGCATACGAGTACTAACTGAATTTAAATAGTTATTACATGACTTGTTAAATTGCTGACATTGTAATGGTAATGTTTATTCATAGATCTATATGTACGTATTCTATCTTATTCATTCAGAGAAAAAAACAACAACAATAACCAATGCAAAAAACACAACAAATACAAGTTAATTATAAAACAGGAACAGCAAAGAACTAATTGCAACAAAGATTAAACCTTGAATAAATATATATTATTATAAAAAACTCAATGTACAAAACAACAAATTGACGAGTTTAATTTCTTGGAATAATGTATAAGGTTCAAATCCATTATTACACGGTGAATAGTGCATATTGAGTATGCTATGAAGTTTGTAACAGTTCGGAGAACTGGCGTAGCAAATCCTGCAATATTTTGTGGACTGAACACTCAAATACTATTTTATTTGAGGTACTGTCTCCAAAGACTTACTCAAGAAAAGAAACGTCCGGCTTGGGCTTGGCATCTGGAGCAAACTGCCGGTTTTGCGACATGTAACCGGAAATTTCAGAACACCTGATTCTATTCTAGATTGGCCAGCAATAGAAGCAAGTTCAAGGCCCTCGGATCCATCTACGTGGACAGGGATCACATCACCTCCATCGCGCCCAGCAAGCTCCTAGAATTGTTTAGAGTTCTGGACCTTTGTGATCATATGTGATATAAAAGAGGGCACAATAGACCATCAATTTCTATCCATCTATACCGTGAAAACAATGAAGAATGGCGGGTCAAAATCGATAATATGCCAATCCCTCGGTTCTACGTATTTTCGTGAATAACGGCTTTTTGTTTCTTCTTACATTCATATTAGTAACCGCTAGATTTAGTTCAGCTTTTATATGCCTGACTGAGATTTAAAAGAGTCCGACTTGGCGATTGCATTTATTGATAAACGAGGGATGCAGGGGCCTTAGGTCTATTGTGCCAAATTTCGATCGTCTAAAAGAGAAATTTTTCTTTTTCGTCTATTTTTTTGGGTTCTCCAGTCGCGTCTACGTAACCGGAACGGATTCGGATGTTTATCTGGCTTATCAGCGTGGTGCTGAGTTGTGTAGTCATGTTTCTTTGTCTGTCTATATAGTCGGTCAGTTAATGATATATCAATCTGAAATTTTTTGCGTAATTTTTTGCCTACGAAGCTAATATGTCGGAACCTCCAAAAGCGGCCTACCATCCTAATCGCTGCCAATACAAAGTTTTTTTTTAGGAAAGTTCAAGGTAGCATGAGAATCTTCAAATGGGACTACTATAGCATATAGCTGTCATACAAACTGATGTGGTTTTCTTTATTTTCCGAAACTTAAACATCTGTGCAAGTGGGTATCTTAATACATTTATTTTCTTAGAGTGGACAAGCATTCAGCTAAGCGCACATAACAACAACCAAATGAGACTGTGGACACACAAACATCTACGGATTTCCCATTTTTTGCTTTGTATGTAATTTTCTAATAGTTGCGCTTCACTTGGCCCGTTTGGAATAGAATGTCCAGCATGTTTAAGAATTCACGGTATTTGAATTCCAAGCGCAGACCTAATAGCGAATGAAAAGTAAATATTTTTATAATTCATCAAAATGAAAATACGATCTGATCAAATTTGACCCGGACTTGACCCTATTTATGAAACTGTTCACCAATTCAGCTAATGATGTTCCAAAAATGAGTCGCAACCGAAAATAAGAAGTCAAAGTTGGTCGAAAATCAAAGCGAAGCTTTAGTTAGCCATTCCTCGTGAGTGAGACATCTACGTGAAGCAACCAATCTAAACGACCAGAGAAAATTCAAGGAGTTTCACCACCACAATGTGCCGTTACATTTTATCATGCTTGTAATTGACTTTTTGGCCAAACAAGAAATTATAGTCAACGCGTAGTCACCGAATTAACCAGATTTACCTCCTTGTGATTTTTTTTGCGTTTTCGACACTGTAAATCCGGTTCGGGACACGCGCCACAAGCCCATCGAAGTCATACGTTGAAGCCCCTGAAGGCCGTCTCAGCAGAGGCTCATAATAAGTGTTTTGGCATGCTTGCATTGACTGAAAAGGAGTATATTTTGAAGGCGATAATAAAGATTTGCATTAAAATACGTTAGCATCGCTTGTTTTGTCACTCCGGGTTCAATTTGATCAGTTGGTTTAACATATTGGATAGTGGTGCTTTGTTTAAACTTACCGCGTTGTAGGCCAAAGCATTTGTAGACAGCATCCAGCTCACGACTGCTCACAATGTTGTGCATTTCGCGCACAGTTAGCGCACGAAGCAGTTGATTTCGTGTTATTGTGCCGCAGTTTTCGCGATCGAAGTCCTGGAAGACTTGCTTCAAATTGGAGATTTCGTCTGGCTTGCGCGCCAACTTCATGAGTGCTTGCGAGCAGAGTGTGCGCTCTTCGAAATTAAGGAAGCAGTCGAAGCAATCTAGATTGGCCAAGTGTATAAGTGGTACAGCGGTAACCTCTTTATCACCCATTGAGGTTTCGATTTCAATGAAGATCTCGTCAAGCGCTCGACAGAAATCCCGATAAAGCACACAGCAAGCACGCTTGGGCGAGCGGAAGCTACAAGGCACAGAAAAAAATTAGTCATAGGCTAAAATACAGCATGAAAAAATTTATCGGTTTACATATTGCTAATCGCGTTCGATTCATCTGCTGATAGAGATATAAGCGCGTTGTCTAAACCACGCTTGAAGTCAATTTCCAGTATATCGCCCTCACGATGTCGATCGTAATCCTGCAGGAAGTCAATAATATTGATGCTACGCGTGATTGCTTGTCTTTTAATGTTTGACAGCAGTTTGATAATGTATTCTTCGCTGTAGTTGTCGCCGACACTCTTGCTTACTGCAGGGCATTCCGTTTTCAGTGCCTCTGGTTGGGGTTTCAGCTTCGGTACAGCGTACTCAGCGGGATCGGCATGCTCAAGGAATTTCGTGTAGTTAAATCCCAATTCATTGCCATAGCGCGCCAGCAATGCATTAAGCTCATTATTCGAGAGCAAAATGCCGTTAGTGAGAAAAACTTGATTTGCTTGATTACAGCCGACATGCCCGCTATTCAGCCTGGAACGAATGAAAACACATTGTTGAGCGTTTTGCCTTTGGGAAGTATGCACTTACTTGTCGTAGTTTCGGAAAAACGGATGCAGATGTAAGCGCCGATTTCGTATGCGCATTTGAATACGCTGCAATGCTTCCTCGCAATAATTGCGCATAACTTCCTCGGCGTGATCCCAATCGAAGGTACCCTCCCTAGGCATATGTTTTATATAGTCAGGTGGCGATTGCACTTCCAGTAGAGGCGTTTTTTCCAGATGTTTCATGGTGAAAACTTTGTAAAAGTGTAGACAAGTTTGGATCAAGAAATTGAGAATAAAAATAAAGAAATGTAGAAATAGAGTACCTTTATCGATTTCGTCCTCAAATAACCGCCACATAATGCGGTTTGTATCGACCGGATCTAAATAGCGGGTAAACAACATATTAATATCACGCTGCGAGAGATACTTGCGCACGCCAACATTGTCCAGGGCGCGCTCAAACTGATTTTTGGTTACTGTGCCGGTCCTCAGGTGATCGAAGCACTCCAAGAACTCTTTTACTCGTACACGACGCTTGTGTACGAAGTTTTGTATACAAAATATCAGATCACACACGTCTTTGTACTCCTTCGGGTGGTTGCAAAGATCGGGAAATACTTTGTATGCCATTTTTGTGCCGTTAGTTGCTGGCAACTCGGAGAGTTCGAGGTCAACCAGACGACCGGGGAAGTCTTTAATGATTTGCTGTTAAAATGAGATAAATACATACATATATGTTATGAATACTGGGAGATTTCGAATAATAAAACTCACCATGGCGTTGTCTAATAGATTATTTTGCTTTAAATAATCCATAATATTTTGTATATGTCTAATGAATGCTACATAGTTTACAGTATACGAATCCTTAATATATCGTTTCAGCAAAAGCAGAAAATCATCATCTGAGATGGGAATCTTCATGAAGTGTAGAACCCGTGAAAAATGTGCGACGGTTACCACACCGACGTTTTGGGAGACCTATATATTGGCAAAGACACACGAAGTCAAGGACTTGACACATACAAAACTCTTTTTGGACCATTCCCTCTTTACGAAACTTACTATTTCATAGTCTTGGAAATACGGAAACAAGGGCAAATTGCAAAACTGAGCAATTTTTATAAGAATCAGACACAACCGACGTCTATCTTCAGGCCTTGGTATGACATTAATATGCATGGGATCGTTCCATTCCAACCCGGTAGCCAAATCCTTTTTGTTGGTGGACGCAGCTGATATACAGTTAGTTTTAAGAACTATTTTGGTTAATGAACGATCCAAAATACTTACGTTCTTGACAAACCACCTTGCAGAATTGTTTGTACGCGACACGGCCATCGCGCAGACGAAAGTAGTCGGTAACCTCACGCAGCTCGAATTCTGAAAGGCCCACCACATTTTTATACTTGCCCAAAATGCTGGTGAAGAGTGAGTCTACAAGCACAACGCATTAACAACACGAAATAACTTAATAATGATACGGCCGTCTTACTTGATATTAAACCGGTGCAACTTGGGTCATGCTCCACGAAGTCTGCGCAAATGTCAAAGCCATAACGGAAAATCGTTGCTTGAATTTTGCGGCAAGCTCGCCATATTTCATTCAAATTTAAATTTAGCTTTGCAAAGGAAGTTGCAATTAATCCAGATAAACTTAAACGTGAAACACAAATTTTGACCTTACCCTTTCATCGTCCTCCATATTTAAAATTTTTACGCTTTTTTGCAAATTTAATTTTGTATTTTTTTATTTAAATGTGGAAAAGCTGTATTTAATTATCTTTTTGCATACAAATTTTCACATATAAATTGTAAATATGACAAAAAGAACGCGACGAAAATTTTATTATAGAAAATTTTTCGTTTGACTGCATTTATTTGACTTATTCCTACTGGAAATATTAACCTTAAGTTGAATGTTCAAGCAAGTCACGGCAGTATTTTTAAAGTACACCGAATAATACGAGAACTTTCACGTCGTGTTCGTTCGCCTTAAAACTATTAACATTTGGGATGATCTTCCATTTCGTCTTCAATTTAAGTTAGAATTATTATAGACGTTTTCAGAATAAGGAAAATTCAATTAAAATATAAATTAATTTTTAGGGAATTATAGAAGTTGAAATAGCTCGTCTTAGTAGAGAAAAATTAAATTAACTT